CAAGGAAGGGGAACTCTACTTCTGCGTCACGGAAGTCTTTGGTTCAGTGCGGACAACTGCGCATGAAACCATCTCCAAGGAAATTTTGACGGTCCGAAAATTTTTGGAAATTCATAGCAGTTTGTAAGTTGAAAACCTCCATTAGTCAGATGGAATTAGATAAGCGACCTGGTCGATGTACCTTGGGCGTAGCTGTCACTTGGGCCGTAGCTATCCCTAGGGTTGATCCAGCGCCGTCGCGTGCTCTGCTGTTCGTATGTGTTGTCTCTATATCTTTCCACCTGCAACATCTTCCGCCTTTCGTTCCGATGATATCTTCCCCGATTACGTTCCGCTACTCTTATCTTGGGCTCCACGTGGCCGCTTCTCATCAGCCTCGAACTCCAGCGCCCTTCTTATGGTCCTAGGGCCTTCTGAGTGCCCGTAGCATCGCACACACTGTTCTCCTATATTCAGCTGTATAGGGGCTACCTGTATGACCACTCTGACATCTTCGTTTCTGTTCCGGTCCATTCGGGTCCAACTGCGGGCCCATCTCAACATTCTCACTTCCTCCTCCACTGCTTTAAGTTACCTTCTGAGTCTCCCTTTTCGCCAAGAATGTGCTGGTCTGTGCTGTAGCCATGCCGTTGATCCTACCTTTTTCTTCGTTCCTTACCTCAACTCCTCTACAACCGTGAACCCTTTTGCTACCATTTCGCTCCGACGTGACAATTCAAATCACCCGCTGTGGTCGGATAGTTTTTTTTCCGAAAATGGTGTAATATCCTCGTCAAATCGGGGCATCCAGCTTGAGGCACGTACACCGTTACTATTGTCCAGTACCCCTCTTCCCTCCTTTGTCTCTATCCTCATGGCCATTATTCGACCACTGCCCTGTTGACGACTGAAACAGTCTTTGAGGGGTTCGGCGACTGCTATGGCCACACCAGGTCAATTCTTTTGGTACCTTCTCCGTTGAAACAAAGCTTGATTTTTCACCGATTTCTCTAACCTTTCCTCCCTTTACCGCGTCTCCGAAGGCATCAGATTCGGACGTACTTGCGCTGCATCACATCACCAATCTCTCGGGACTTTTCAGTAAGCGATCCTACGTTCAGAATCCCAATTCGATTTTACTTCTTTGGCAGAGGCTGTTTACTCTTCTCATCCTACCACTGTCCATCGAAGTCGGGCGGGGTCCTGTGCGCCTTTTCTGGGTGACATCCTAGCTTTTATACTGATTCCTCTGAAGACTTTGTTCAGTGTTGCTGCGACAGGGTTTCCCCATCAGCCGGCCTGTCATCCTGGACCTGACCCTGGTACCGACACCATACTTTGCAATTTTTGCTAGGCATGGTTTTTGCCTCGGCAGGCGTCGAACTCGTAGTCTTTCTGAGTGCAGACGTGAGCCTACACTCTTAGTCACTCGGCTTGGTGTCTCTGAGTGCACTCGGCTATCCCTGGTGTCTTACATTACACGTAGTAGTGACGTCATACACCACCTGTTCCACCAAACCACAATCTCTTTTCTGAGGTTCTACTTCTGCTTTTTTCCTACGAGGCAACTACTTACACTATGAATCCATGGCTCGGATTTCTGATCTAAGTTCTTTCTTCATCTTCTCCCTCCCTACCTGCGCCATCGGATGGGCCTTTTATTGTTAGTCTATACAGTACATCACTCACCATTCTCACCTATCGATATCACCTTCTGCTCTCACATTGGCTCGGTGATGTTCTTTTCCATCACTTCACCATTTCTTTGAAGTTACAGCTCACGATCATTTTGAGCCATCTAGATTGAGTGGAATAATAGAAGTTAGGATGCGGAATAAATTTTCAAAAAAAATGGTGAAGAAAGTGCGAAAACAGGCGGATTTCAGTAATATATGGGTTCAAAATGGAAAGAAATGGTGTTGTACGAGCATATGTGCCTGCAATCGCCTGGGTGTCTCCCACATAAGCGAACTGTCCCTCGGCGTTCTAATGCTTGATCGTGAATGGTGCACCTTAACAAGGCCATTGGAACACGACCACTCTATGGTGCGTACGTTCACCAAACCGGTTTTGGAGCCCTTGTAAGGCGCTGTCGAGGACTTTTTTTCGAACCTACAATGTTCCTCGTGCTATCCGTGGAGGCTGCAGGTTCATCTTGAAAGAAAACCTGAGAAACCATTTTCATCGTGAGCTATGGCTTCAAGACTCCTCGTGCTCGCTTGAACTTTGAGTTCCATTACTTCTTTTCCTGAGTGACCTTGTGCCTTTTGCGGCACGCGTGCGTACAACCGCAGATTCGTACTTTCTGGTTTCAGGTGAACAAAGTGTGTTCCATGACTGCCTTCACATTTTCTTCTCTGACATGTCCTGTCCTATCACATCGTATCACAGGTCAATCTCAACAAATTCATTCCAGTGTAGGGCAATGATGCTGCTCTCCTACAAGCCAGACTAACTGCCGTAGCGCATTGCACTCCTCACCACTATCCACTATCGAAACGCCTTTCCTTTCACCGGCCTAGAGCACCGTCGGTAGCGAAATACCTTAGGACTCCATTTCTATCACATCGCGTTCAGTTTTTCACAAGCCTTTACACCATAGTTTTCATTAGCGTCCTACTTAATCTTATCTATTTCTCTAAGCGACATTTCACTGTCCAAATGATATAACTTGTGATCTACACAGTACCCGTGTAAGTCACTCAAACTGGGCATCGATGCTGAGTGAGGACTGATAGAGTACTGCAACAACACCAAAATAGTTCTAAAACTTCGAAACATAACATTATTTAATAAATTGATTGGTATCTGATGAAAGCGATCTCGTTGATCGGGACCCAAGGAAAAAGTTACTTTTTTCGAACATGAAGAAATATTGGAGGAAACTTGATAATCGGAAAATCTGTTAAATTCACTGAGTTCTAATCCATGGAAACCTCTCTCTACATGGTGTTCGAGACTAATCGTGTGTTTCTGATTCGAAAACTAGAATTTGGACCGTACGTATAATTGCGTAATTGCCACCTTTCTTTTGATGCTATCTCGGACCTAAAGCATACAGACAACGCTAAAAGTTTGGGTTGCGGGGCTAATTCAAATAACGTAATATAATTTTGTGGTAATAATCCAAATCGAGGATCCATATGGAAAACAGAAGAAAATCACTCTTCGCGTTACAAGGTAACTCCACCTATTTGCAAAAAACTTCATAATTTTGTCCTGTTACAGCTAAAATCGTATGAAGAAACAAAGAGACGTACATAACGAATACTATTGAGTACTGAATGCCTACACTCAAGACAAAAAAATGAAATCCAAAGCGTAAGATTGATTTTGTCAAACTTTGTTGAAATGAATGAAGGGAACAAAGCATTGTTGAAATGAATGAAGGGAACAAAGCAGCGCAGCGAAGATCACTGGATAATTACTGCTCCGAAGGCTTTATTTTTAAGAACTTGGTCAAAAGTCAATAATAATTTGAATAGCGATACCTCAAATGGAAATGAGTAAATTAGTAGTGGTCTCGGACGGAAATTACTTTTAAATAATAATTCCACGAGTCGAATGCCACGATTATGCGTATGGTAAATTGAAACATGATTACCCAAGCAACCTTGAGGCTTCTATTGGTTTTTCGCCATTGTTGACAAGAATGCTCGAAAAATTATATGCAGAGCAATGAGTAATCACAAATGAGAGCGGAGCAGTTTATCAGACGGATGACAAAAATACCTAGGCACATGTTGCCTCGAGTATGTGTGAATTTCCATAAGTTTAAGGTTCGCACTTCAAAACGCAGACGAATCTCAACTAGAGAAGAACGAATGTATTTCAGAGACAGACGAACAACTTCACCAATGGTTCCGTCTAAATGAAACACGGAAAGGGGCAACGGAGCGAAGCGCGTAAGATTCGAAAATCGAGGTCGTCTATGCGATTTTTGCATGGCCCGCGTCACCCTCCGTCCTATGCGGGAACAATGGGGATTTCCAGACTTGCGTCGATTGCGAGATATCAAGTGAGGATGAAACCTCGACCAGCCTTCTTCAACCATTCATACACCAAAAGATATCTTTCTCGCAACAAAGCAAACATTGTTAGTTCAACCAATGAAAGATTCTGACGGGTCAAGCGACACTTGTTCAAGTCCAACAAATCAGCGCAAAGATAGAAAGCTTTAAATGAAATTTGAGACAAAAACTTTTCTTGTTCTATCTAACATGATGGGTTTTTTTCGAACGTGAAAATGACAAACGATGACAGAATCTTCCAATGATCACTCATGATCATGAGTTATTGAACTACAATCAAAAAGGGAAGCAGATTTTTAGAGAAAATGTAAAATCGAAATCGTAAAACAGAGGAAAAGCCAAACAAATTCAAGTGACGACTAGCAGAAGGTTTTGAAAGCCATAACGCTACGCATAAACTCAAGGGAAGCAAACGATAACTTCCGACTGGGAGTTCCGGGACTCATATCTCTCTGGACGACACGTCCATTAGCAATACCACCCGCTTGCGCCTTTTAATTTATTCATGAAAGCACATGCAGCACGTCCAAACAACAAAAACCATACCGAAAAAAAGCTGAAGGCGATGCAGATAGTGATTATGTTGAAAATAGGCTGAAAACAATTTATTTTATACTATGACCACCGACTTATATTTTCGTGATGAATCTGCTTGAAAGTTGATGGTCTTTCCAACTTTCCATTTTATCAAAGACTTATTTCATGAGATTCTTATATCCACCTCTCATTAGGAACCAGTAGAGACAGCTACATGCATTGAAGCTATGTATAATCCCTCCCGATAGCCTATTAACTTAACGAGGTGAGAGGGTGAAACCATGGCGTCCGGAGGAATGTCCTGTTCTAACTACTTTTGGCTTATGTAATAAAAAATTCCCCTAACTTAAATTTTGGAATTCTACCTTCTGCTCTAATGCAAAGTTCCGGTACTCTCTAAGTCATTGGAAAGTTTATTTCAACCTGCTTGCTGCTTCGCATTCGAAGCAGTGGTTAGGTAGTTGTGCGAGGAACTGGAGGAAGGTTGGTCCCCTTGCTTGGAGTCCCCTTGTCAATCTCGTAGGATCGCGGTGGAGCTCGTTCTTCACGCTTTGGCTGTGCACAACGAGTCCCAGTAGATCTCGTCTAGAATTTTGCATTCTGGACTAGGGACAAGGACTCGCTCAGGGAAGTATTCGCCTACCAAAGAAGAGGCAAACTGTTACCTTGCCAATGCTCTCGTCACTATCATCAGGTGTCGGATTGTATGGTGTGAAGTCTTTCGCCAACGTCTCCAACTGAACGACGAAATAGCGCGTTAGAGCCTTCACGTTGTTCTTCATTAATAAAATATACATTATTACACTTTAACGGCACGTCTGCATGTCCATACGGCCCAGAGTGGGTTCCTCAGTTCCCTGTGATCTCGAGTGGCCATAGCAAAGTGATGAAGCTCAGTACAGAGCCTGGCAAGGCAGCGTTGATCTCCCAGGGAGCAAGTTTGCTAAAACAGTTATGGAACCGCATGAGTTCCCCGCACATTGGGCCCAGCCGTCTCCGGCGCCGGACGGTATGGCAACCGGTGAAAGGCGACAAAATCAGGGTGCCTTGGGTTTTGGACTACGATGGCATCCCCCTACACAACACGGAGACTGTTTCTTATTTCATACCTACAACGCGAGAACAGTTTCTCCTAACGCCGCTCTTCATCTGCCTCTCGAGGGGACTAGTCACATCAGTTAATATTGACTGCGCTGCAAGGAATCTAGATCAACAGGGCGTATGAAAACGAACAAGGGAATACACATCACTCTTGATGAAAATTTCCATCGTGAAACTTTTACAGCATTAGCTTTGTCGTGCGCCTGCCTGTCCTCCATCTCGTCGACTCTCACGAGATCCCGTCTCTTCGCTTTGCCATTCTACGCATGCGACATGCGCACCTGAGGACCATCACTATCTTCAACTGTTATTCTCCACACTCTACAGCTGAGAGAGTAGAGCCGATGCGTTTACGACCACATGCAGGAGAGCATTCTCAACGAAAAGCCGTTCTCCAAGTTTGTCGTTGGAGACTTCAACGCCAGGCTCGGCGAAACATCTGAGAAGGGAGAACGAGATTGGAATGTTTGGATTGCGGGACAGTATTGAGATTGGAAACAATCCGGCAAGACTTCTGTCCGCGGCTCGACTCTTCCTGTGCAATTTTTCCATAAAAGGAACATCTCCGCTGGAATGAGAGTCTCCATAGGGTGCGGCACACCTGAACTGGGCCACAGTGGTGCTTACAAGATGTTGGTGTGGTACCGTCATTCAATTTCGATTTGGATCACCAAACCTTCGGCGCTATAATCATATTCAGTCACAAGGGGAAGATCTTTCGACATCGCGCAGAGATATAGAAGCTAGATGGAGACGTTTTGAACGACGTTGTCCGATATAACTGCCAGGTCATGGATGAGCGACCGAAGACTACTACGCGCTGCTTCGGGTCTTCCTCACCCACGCCGAACAGGTAAGTCATCCTCAAATGGATACCGCCAATCGCATTTCAGATGCAGTGAAGGATCTACTCAGGTCAAGAAGAAATTTGAGGCTTGAGCAGGACCCTAAGCATCTTAAGAGGCTGCAAGCTAATATCGGCTGCGGACAGGCAGTGTGGGGAGACCTTCAGCTTGCAGGGAGATTAGGCTACTGAAGAGAGCCCTGAACATAACCATGCAGTCTGAAGAAATGCCGACGGGACTTTCAGGACAACAAAATTCTACTCTTACGTTTGAAGAAGAGGGCGGAGCTCTTACAACATCACAATTCGAGATGGAGAAAGGTAAACAGAGGTTTTACGCTAACCTATATCAATCCACGACTTGTGCAAAGTCCAGAAATCTCCATGGAGGAACACCACCTCGGATCCTTTCTCTAAGATGAGAAGTTGCGATTGCGGGCATGAAAAGGGGCACTACTCCAGGCCCCCACAAGTTCTTAGCCGAATTATCCGTGCGGGTGGTTACGAATTTCATGCGATTTTCGTAATGCTCATGACATCCACGTCCAAAAGGAAATAATGGGGAAGCTCTTAGAGTTCATTCTTTACGAGGATGATCTTCGCAACTACCGCTTAAGCTTACTGAAAGTTGTTTACGATCTTTTTACGAAGGCAAACCTGACCCTCATATGAGCGTTGGATGAAGCTCAACCTAATGAACAGGCTGGCTGTCATCGAAGTGGGCCGACAATTCCGAATGTCCCTTGCCCATACCTTTATAGACTAAGGAAAAGCTTCCAGTGTCAAATGAATGCGGTTTTGACAGCACTGGTCCATCCAGGGGTGAAGCCTTCCAATATAAGAACACTGACTGTAGAAGTCGCTGAAGTGCGACGGTGACGGTGACGGACAGACGACCTGTCACCATTCCCATTGAGAAAAGTGTGTAACAAGGCGACACTATTCTGCCGAAGCTATTCACAGAAGCGCTGCAGGGGTCATGAAGTCGCTAGACTGGGTGAGGAGGGCGCTCGGCCGAATGAACCGTTTCTCTGAAACTTCCGTTTTGCGGACGCTCTCCTTCTCCAAGCAACTTAGCGGATGATGGAACTACATATGCTTGGGTGGCATCTCCCCTACATAGTAATAGAGAGAAGCAGTGACAAATGATGAACTACCACACTCATGGTTGTGGGATCGAATCTCGAATAAGTAAAAAGCCAGACCCTCTTACCCTCTACTATTACGAGGTCGCTCAACCGGCAGCAGATCGTCTGAGAGGACTAAAGCGCTTATTCGTAAATCGACTGGCTGGCGCAGGTCACTGTGTAGGTCCCATACACATTCAAAACGCAACTACGATTCTGAATGGTAGGCAAAGCGGGGTGATCGTCGTCGAAAGACCCCAGATTCTGAATAATGGAATTGCGAGTAGAAATCAGTTATGGAACTCGTGACTCATGCGTCGATTCGCCAGTCTGTCCACTACTTATTTAATCTGTCTTTCGCCCCCAAAATGCTCATTCTACCTTAACGATGTGTTAGGAAACTGATGGGAAAAATGGATCACGAAGGTATGAGGAATCAACCAGACTTGCTGTGTCTACATATCTATGAGATGATATGATTACAACATCTTCTTACAGCATAATACTGCATAATATATAGCGACTTCAAAGAAGCTTCACATAGCTTCGTTGCAGGCTTTTAGACAAGAGTACGCACGAGAAGCGAGAAGCACCTCGGAAGGGCATGATTGCCTCTTGCTGGTAATCCTTACTATCCTTACTTTATATAAAGCGCTCGCGTCTGTCTGTCCGTCCGTCTGTCTGTCTGTTTGTACGGAAATTCATAACTTTTGTCTCCGTGGACCTAGGACGTTCAAATTTGGTAGGAGCACAGGCGGCAGGATGGGAACACATACGGTGGGTGGCAGGACTGGACCCCGCCCACAGGGGGCGGGGTTTGTGCAACCAAAATGTTTCAGCGGAAATTCATAACTTCTGTCTCCGTGGACCTAGGACGTTCAAATTTGGTAGGAGCACTGGCGGCAGGATGGAAACACATATGGTGGGTGGCAGGTCCGGACTCCACCCATAGGGGACGGGGTTTGTGCGAACAAAATGTTTCAGTGGAAAATAATGAATCCTGTCTCAGTGGACTAAGAAAATTCGAATTCGGTAAGAGTACCCGAGGCAGGGTTGGAATATTAGTGGTGGGTGGCAGGGTCGGGCCACAGAGGGCGAGGTTGGCGCTGAAATCGCCAATTTGGCCTAGGGCGTTCAAACTTGGCAGTAGTATAGGCGGCAGGATGGGAACAC